ATTAAAGTGTGTGGCTGTTGATTAGTGGTGTGTATCTAAAAACATACAGGACATTCAGGGACATGTCCGAACAGTAAGCCTCGGAAGATATTATAACTAAGATTACGGCTGAGCATAGCATGCTACTAGCAATATTCATCCTGTCTGCAGACTCTGCAATCTAGTTGACCTTGGCCTAGATGCAGCCTGCAGCACTCATGACAATGAACTAAGCATTTACCAGCCTGAGCATAGACAGCCTGTCTCCACTAAACATTTGCTAATACAACAGATGTCTAACAAATATCTATCTGACTAAGAAATTACCTAACACAGCCTATAAAACACTTGGCTCTGATTTTATGGTGATCTTCATACTCACACCTCGTTTGCTCTTACACACACACAGGGCTCTCTTCATCTCGGACAAACATGGTGTCAGCATTACAGCCGAAGAGCCGTTTGAGGATGGGAGACTTCAGCTATGGGTGGAAGACACACATGTTGATGAGGTGAAACTGCAGCGTTGTCTGTTGAAACAAATAAAGCCACTGTTGGTCATACGAATTGCAGAGATGCATAGATCTGTTTTTCTTTTTTTCTCTTTCAGTATGTGGTAAAACTGACTGTGAACAACACTCGAACAACTGCTGTACATTTCACCTACTACACCTCACTGCAGTGGCTCGGATACTTGACTCTAAGAGATGAGAGCAAAGTGACCAAGAAAAACCCCCTGTCACTACAACCAGGTAATGCAAATGTCACAAATGAGTTTCATAAGGTTTATTTGTGAGTTTTTGAATTCATAATGCCAATTTTTGCTCCACTGAGAGAAAAATTATGGACCACTAGGAATACACTAAACTTTATTCATTATGTTCCATTCTCAGGTGACAGTTATGAAATCCAGGTTTGCTTTAGCTGCAAAATGGTTGGCTTCTATCCAGCTACACTGGCCTTTGAATTCAAACCAGATTTGAATGACTCAGATGCATTTCACATCGTCCGCTTCTTTGAGGCTAGATGTGTAACTGCCTTAGGACGGGAGCTGGCACCTGTAGCACCCTACAAACCTCTCTCCCTTCCTGCCTGGACCCCTGAAGTTAAATGCATGATTGTGGATGGTCAGCCACCTGAAGGGTACCACCATTCACTTGATACACTGTTAAATAAAATGTAAAAATAGAAATGCTTTCTGACTCATTCTGTTATGTTGATATAGTTCAAATCTTTTCCGTTTTGTCAATTTTTTTCCAGGTTGTCGGTGCTGAGACTAAGAAATGTGGTGCCGCTAAGAGATTATAAAATACCACTATATATGAACGAGCTCATCAAGTTACTCAAGCAGCCTGCTGGCGTCTCTGGCAGAAGGTAAATTCAGTTCAGTTTTTAATCATCTCTAGCTATAGGTCAGTCATTAAGGATACTGATGTAATGACTCTGGAAAGCTTAAGCTGCTTTTATATGATGTTTTATATATATCACAGTGTAGCTAGTAGAAATGTTTATTGATATCAGTTATATTTAGCCAATTGTTTTGAGGGGAAAGCTGATTGTTTCTGTATCATATCTGGAAAGTTGCAAAAAAATAGACTGATACTGGATCTAGCAGAAAGATGTTGATTGACCATAAATTTAATTGGTTTTCTGTGAAATTTCTTGCAATAGAATATCCACTTGTAGTGACACTGGTCTGGCTTAATGCAGAAAAAGTCACCAGTAACTAAAATCTTAAGACACAGCATGATTATTAACATCTAACCACACAACATAGTTGAGAAAAGAATTCAGTAACATATAAATGTCTTGGAGACAGGGTTGGCCTGAGTGTGAACACGTGCTAAAAACATACACCAATGACATAATTCAACCCAGTTTGTGTTCTACCGTGTAAACACTTTCTTTTCCTTGGGTCTGGTTAGAATGGCCTTGCTGGAGAGTCCCTTGAGCTGGGAGAACTACTGTGAGAAATTCCACTTGCTGCTGTTTCTGGAAGAGCTGCAGATGGAAGTGGACATCAAGAGATACAACATCCCCAACAATGATAAAGAATATGCCACTATGGTCAGAGACCCAGCAAACAAGAAACTTCTCATACTAGAGGTAATCATATGCTTGCACATTTCATTCACTCACTTATAGTACTCACATAATCACTCATTCCTTCAGGTGTTCATTCTTTATCTCACACTTGGAAGTCACTGGCTCATATTATACATTTAGAATAAACTTTTACTTGGATTCAGTAGCTCTAGATATCTGTCTTAATTAGCTGTTGTACCAGAAGGTATTACAGTATATTGGAGTAGTAATAAAAATAGTCAGTAGTACATCACACTACAAGGCACAAGAGTTTTCACCATACAAGACAAAAAAAAAAAAAAATCAGTGATATGATTTTAAATCAGAGTTTAGATTTAATATAAGAGCTGTTGTGATATGTACTGCTGGCACTGATATCTTACTAGATTAGGGGGTCGTACATCAAATCAATTTTAAACATTTTTACTCAGCCATTACATTGGCTAAAGTGTAATCAATCATTTCTGAAAGCAATGATATTTAAAATTATTTATAGTGCAATACATTCTTCAAACTTGCCAGGTACCTGGTGTGTCTGAGAACCGGCCATCTGTGCTACGAGGAGATAAGCTGCTGGTGTGTCCTTTAGGAGAGACAGGGGTGAAGTACTGTGGCTACGTCCACAGCGTGCAGCTGGACTGTGTCAAACTGGGCTTTGATTCAAAGTAAGTTCAAGACAGTCATGTAACATAGTGATTTTAAAAATATTCTTTTTCTTTGACTGATGTTTAACAAAGAAAATGGATTTTTTTTTTTTTTTTTTTTTTGTATTTCTTTGCAGATTGTTGGATCTGTTTGTAGACAACATGAAGTTCAAGGTTGAGTTCACTGTCAACCGCCTGACTCTGCGTCTTCAGCACAGGGCTGTAGACCTGGCAATTGAAAAGAGACTGGAAAATGTGCTGTTCCCTGCTGCACCCAGCTACTTCCCTCCACCAACTGAGCTTCCCAAACTCAGGTCAGGCACGCTAGAATGGAATGTGTGTGTGCCTTTGTATTACATACATTATGAGGACCAAAACCTGTTAACACACTCACACTGTGGGGACCAGAAGCTATTCCCCACAAGGAAATCACTGAATTATAGGGTGGCAACATGGTTAAGTATGAGGGTTAGGGTTAGACAAGTAGTGGTTAAGGTTAGGATAAGTCTACAGGAAATGAATGTCAAAGTCCCCACAAGGAATGAAAACACAGCATGTGTGTATAAAAAATACAGTGCATATGATAGTTGCCTATTTTACAGCACAGATGTCTGTAGTATCTGTCCCTCTGCCTGTGGATGAATAATATAAGACAATGATTGAGCTGCACATATGATCAGAACATAATGGCAGGAGACTCTGTGATTCCAAAAAAGCAACTTCCTGACAGACGGTCCAGTTTATAGTTTTGTCCAGTTGATGTATGGCATCTTCACTTGAGCTCTTTATTATTCAAGCTGACCTTCAGCTGACCTGCACTTTGCAGCACGAGTTAAGTTTTCAGTGTAAGGGACTTCCTCTCAGGCCCCCTGCAGCTGCCCCTGTTGGTTAGGTCATGCAGTACGTGACCTTTCTCTGTGTACTGTCTCTGAATAATGTCCAGTTTAAGTCATGTCCAGTCTGTGTATTGTCCACTGAGGTCATGGTCTTTGGCGCTTAAGAATCCATTCCTTCTTGAGCGTGTGTGCTCAAGACTTAAGACGGTGTGAAAATAAAATACAAATGCAAAAAGTAAAATTATGATCCCAATAACAGAAAACACTGCTTGTTGCTGCCTAGTTATTTAGGTTGTTCCTATGAGGAAAACATTTACATGCTGTACTGCTACATTAAATTTAGAATTAAGAGGCATTTTAAACTTGTTAAAATAGAAAATGTTTGTATCCTAATAATTTGGCACAAACAAGGTGCTTGATTCACCTTATGAAAGTATGTGATTCTTTGTGCATGTACATGGTTTCTACCTGCAACTCACCTCCTGTCATCTGTATTCCTGCTATTAGGCTGTTTGACTCAAAGTTGGAGAGGAACCCAGAGCAGTTACATGCAGTACAGCGCATTGTAGCTGGCTCATCCAAACCTGCTCCTTACCTGGTGTTTGGCCCACCTGGAACAGGTACAGCAAGCACCAGCATTGTTGAGTTTTATGTGTTTAAAGTAATTTAGGTTTGACCTGGTATCCTACCACCTGCCCACAAAGCTGGAACTTTAACGCACTTGACTTTATTCAGGTGGTTCTTTTTCTGTTCAGGCAAAACTGTGACTCTGGTGGAGGCCATCAAGCAGATAGAGAAGACCCAGGCCTCCTGCCACATCCTGGCTTGTGCTCCCTCCAACAGTGCTGCTGATCTGCTCTGTACAAAGATTCTGGAACACGTGGACCAGCATAAAGTCCATCGCATGTACGCCAGCAGCCGGGACCCACAATTAGTCCCTAAAAATCTAAAGGTCCGTGCTTTTTTTTTTTTTTAAATTCCAAGTGACTGCTGTTTATTTTAAATTCAAAGCCGTTCTTTTATTTACTATTTATTCGCCTGGTCACAATTATATTATCTATCCTTTTATGAACATTATGGTGCATGGCAGTGTTTAGGACTATTTACTACTCACAATTGTTTGCTGTCAAGTGTTTTTCTGGCTTCACCGAAGCATGTGTACACAGACGTTGTGGTACTTCCACAGGAATGCTCTAACCTAGAAGGGGACCACTATGTTTTTGCTCCTAAAGAGAAGCTGATGGAGTATAGGATTATGGTCACCACCCTGATAACTGCTGGAAGGTAGTGAATTACTCTGACTGCAGTTTGCTAACCTGCATGGCAATTTAAAAAAGTTGCACTTCACTTGTTGTACACTGTTACATCTTGTTTATATTCTCTACTGTTCAAAATGTCAGTCAATTCTGCTCATGAGCTTGTGTAGCAGTAAGTTGGCTACTGTCTTTGTATCCCTGGTATCTGCAGGCTGGTCACAGGAGGCATTCTGGAAGGACATTACACTCATGTGTTTGTGGACGAGGCAGGACATGCTGTGGAAACTGAATGTTTAATCCCATTGGCAGGTAAAGACCAAACAGCACTGTGTTTTCTGTTGAATGTGCTTTATGGGCTGGCTGATGTTTGTTATCCATGATACAAAGGGCTGCTGCATGCTGAGTCTGGTCAGGTTGTTCTGGCTGGAGACCCCAAGCAGCTCGGACCCATCCTCAGATCCCCTTTTGCACTGAAATACGGCATGGGTAAGTACACACACACACACACACACTGTAGTGTTTGAGGTCACATACAGTATATCTGCATTTCAGCTTTTGTTATTTACACACAGACTAACTTTAAAACATACTCTTGTCTTGCTTGTGACTGCCATATTCTGCTATTTGACAAGACTTAAAAGGCTCTGCTGTCTTTAGGAGTGTCCTTCTTGGAGCGCATGATGAATGATATCCCTTTGTACCAGAAGGATCAGGAGGATGGGTTCAACAGTCGCTTCGTCACCAAATTGCTGCGTAACTACAGGTGTGGTAGAAGAGCCAGTTACAGGTCACTCCTTGACTATGTTTGACTTGTCTTGACATTTTCTGGGCTGCTTTTCTGTTTTGTCCTTTTCAGGTCCCATCCTGCCATTCTGAAGGTTCCTAACGAGCTCTTCTATGACAACAAGTTACAGGCTTGTGCAGATGAAATTAAACGCAACTCCTACTGCAGATGGGAACACCTCAAAAAGAAGGTAACAGTCCTTTTTCTCAGCACACACATGCAAAGAGGAACTGATTATTTGGCATGACTACTCAGGCACCTCAACTATTACATGTAGCCATCTGATGTTTGTTCTAGAACTGAATCGATTAGTTAGGCGGAGGTAGGCGTACCGTCTAGTTACAGAATATGAAAACCAGTGCAACACTTGTCACTTCAGAATTGTGGACTTGGTTTACCCCACCTTGTGGCAGCACAGAAACATTCTGAAAAATTTCTCTAAAGAAGAATGCATGAACAGTTTTATTTATAAAGATATTTCTCACCCCTATTTCAGGACTTCCCACTGATCCTCCATAATGTCACTGGCATTGATGAGCGTGAGGCCAGCAGTCCTTCATTCTTCAATGTGGCAGAGGTGGAGGTGCTGATGAACTATGTGAGGAAACTGCTGGAGACAGGAGGCAAGAAGGGCCTGGCTACCATCTTACCCAAAGACATTGGTATCATCGCCCCCTACAGGAAACAGGTCTGAATTAATCCAAGTTGACAATGAATGAATGAACATGGAACTGAATTGACTGTTAAGTCTGACTACATATTACCCGATTTTATTTCTGGGTGTTACATAGGTGCAGAAAATCCGTAAGTTCTTGGAAAAGGTTGGGAAAGACCTCAAACTGAAGGACATAAATGACCTTAAGGTAACTAAATCTCGCTCTAGTCTTAAATAATAAACATGCAGCAACAGTGGCTCATGTGCGTACACATGTGTTAGGTTGGTTCAGTGGAGGAGTTCCAAGGTCAGGAAAGGAGAGTAATCCTGGTGTCTACAGTTCGGAGCAACACCAAGTACGCAGACTTGGACAGAAAGTTCAGTCTGGGCTTTGTCAAGAATGAGAAGGTATACAAAACGAGCACATGCACATAGTGTGTTTACACAAAAGGATATTTTGAAACACACTTTTCTCATCCAGAGATTCAATGTGGCTGTGACACGAGCCCAAGCCCTGCTGATTGTGGTGGGAAACACCAGAGTGCTGAAGACGGATACTACCTGGAACCGGTATGTTTCACATAGCTACTTCACCTACATACCGATATTAAAACTAAAGTTTTAACTTTAAATTCAAGAGAGCAGTGCCCATTATTCTCTGTCCTTGCACATCTGTAGCTTCATCCAGTACTGCAGAGAGGAAGGAGGCTACATTGACTTTGGGGCAGATGACGATGATGACGAGGAGAACATGATCGAGAGGTTCGCCAGCCTGTATCTCGATATCAAGCCTGAAGGTGACAGACAAGCTTCATTAGCATCCCTCTTAAAATGAATATTTTGAATTGGTTTTAAAGTTACCCACCTTGCTGTTTGTCTATTAATCTGCTCTAAGTTGAGACTGCGGAGAGCGCCATTCAGCAGTCTCTGCACCCCGAGTGGAGGAACGACCTTTGAAGAAAAAGAGCCGACTTCATCCATGGCACCTGAAGGAATTCATTTGCCTTCCCCTTATAGATTTCTATAGGCTTATAGATTTCTACCTTTTGTACACATTCTTCTGAGGGCTTTGATACCTCTTTAAAAAAATACCAAAGTATATTGTTCAACTCAGGTTAGTCTTTTTAATTTCAACTCGAGAAACATAGACAGGAAAGTGATTCATGTTTAAAGCAGACAGCTTGTCTTTGGTTACCTCAGTGGGCTGCACAAACACCACTTTCAATTGGAACAGTTTCACTTGAAACAGATGCCAACATAAAATTGGAGAATGAATTTTAAAAGTAATTTGGTTCTTTAAAATGAATTTTACAATCATGTGTATTTACAGTTTGTCCCTGAATTGAATGTGTACAGATATTTCTATTAATTAATAAAAATTAAGTATTTAGAACTGTTTATTTCCTGATCACTTTGGCATTTGTTGGTTTTAGTTTAATGGAAATGGAGTCTTGGGTTTCTGTTAAATGAAACAGCAATTTTTGGGCTATAACGTGCAGCCTCACCTGTACAGTCCTTCACCTTTTGCTAATGAAAAGGTTTGACCAACATGCCAGGATATGAATTTAAACCAGTTAAGATTACGTAGTATTTCAAAAATACTTTATTAACATGTTTGTCACATTCAGCACTTCTCACTCCCGTTTGTAAAGCATCATCACAATCATTTGCTCTTGACCTGTTTGACATTACAGACGTATAGAGGCACTGTCCAGGAATTAGCCCAAGACCACAACATTCTGATCTTGGTGGATCTGAATGTACTGGATAAATGATATCAATGTAAGGACCATCTCGTTCACTTAAGTGTGTTCAGGGCAGGACTACATATATTCACAATGTCATACCGCCTCAAATATGTTCACTTTAACTGTATCAGAGGGCTGCAGGTAAGATGGGATGGTTTGATGATTCCGTCACTGTGGAAAGTTACTGTAGTTTAAATTTTACTTTTTTTAACCACTTAAAATTGACACTTGGACTTTCATCCCAATTTTGTTGCAATTTGTTCAGATTGGTGTAAAAACTTCAAACTTAGATGTCACATTTCAATTTTGAGCCCAAAGACAGACACACACCCTGTCTTTGAGGTTGGCTGCACAGGACATTGTCTATAAGGGCCACACAAAAGGAACTTTGAACACTGGCTTAGATATCCTCATTTGTTCAATCACATTTCAAAGAATTTTCCCATAGTGTAAAATGAAGGGGTATTGCACATCGACAAGCCCCAATTTCAGATGGTCAAGACTGCTACTGATCTGCTGAGCACAAAGAAGAGTGCACATTAGCTGAGTATTTATACAGAATGGTCCTGTCTGAATATTAATGGCTGTGTAGTGTGCACCCATTATGTGCAAAGCACAGAAACCTGTAGGTTACAGTGTGCGCTCGTCCTCAGTTAATCCAGTACACAGTGGTACATCACAACCTCTAGTGGACCTGAAACAGTACAGAGTTCAGACAGGACAGCAGGGTTTGCTGAGGGAAGGCAGTGGTGATGTCTGTCAGAGTCAGTATGAGCATGACTATGAGTATTGTCTCCGTGACAATAGACCAGTGTCTCTAGTGCCAGTTTAAGCTAGCACCATGGAAGACAGACCAAGGTGCAGCCCATAACGACCTCACACAAATAGCTGTTGCAGCTTCAATTTATGTGGGTTTCTATGGATTAATGCTGTGATCATGCTCTAAATTTAGTTCTTGCCAGAAGGTAGGAGGAGAAAAAAAAAAGTTCTGCTGAAACAGGACTTTCAGGCTGTAAAAATTAACAGTGGTATGACAAATAGATGAAGCATTGTGACTGAAGCGGATGTGGAAAGGGAGACAAAGGGGTATATGCAGTTTAAAGAGAAGCAGAGATTCCTTACCAATAAAGCAAATCTAAAACTGCCTGTACTTCTGCAAGTGAGCTGAGAAACAGACAGTGAGCTACAAGCACCTACTCTGTAAACAATCATAATGCAGAGGCAGGTGCCTGATGTATTTGTAAAGTATATGCACATATAAATACAAACATACATTCATATGTATAGAGAGAAAGGGTAGGTCCTTCTCATTAACAGGCTGGTGAAGAAAAACAAAATGGCAAAAAAAAAAACCCTGACTGTGCAAGTAGCAGAGGAAATAGTGTTACAAAAGAAAAACATTTTATTTTTTTTTTGCTTTTAAATGGGTGGGTCAGTCTGTCATAATTGCCTGTGGCATATCTGCATTGGTGAAGTAAGTGTTGTCCACGGAAGCCACCGATTTAAGGTTTCTCTAACTTTACTCTGTGTGTTGGGGAGTACTCCCTCAGCTTCTGACTGGCCAACATGCCCCACCGCTTCACAGTAGCTGGCAGCCGCCCCTCTTCTTACGCTTGCGGACCTGGAGTGCCGCCCTGGTAGCCATCTCAAACACTTCCCTCACGCCATCCTTTGTCTTGGCGGAGCACTCCAGGTACCCAAAGGCACTGATGCGGTTGGCCATGTCCCTGCCCTCTTCAGACTTTACTGGCTCCTGAAGGTTTAATGTTCAAACTGCGAGTTAAACAGTGGGTACAATAATAATAATGTGTTGCCAGTAATACAAATGGATACAGAAACACACACCTGTTTCATCTTTGCCAGCTCCCTGCGCGTGTGTTCATCATTCCTAAGGTCCTTCTTGTTGCCCACAAGGATGATTGGGACGTTGGGACAAAAGTGTTTCACTTCAGGTGTCCATTTCTCAGGAATGTTCTCTACAAGATTGAGGAAAAAAATACATTAAAAAAAATCTCAAGTGACCACACAATAAATCCCAGAGTTCCTTCCTTAAAAGGACAGCTAGAGACCTCATCACTGTACAGACAAACATGGAGAGGTCACTGACTCCTAACTGCACTGGTTCAAGTGTGCTAGCCAAAATCAGAGCTGTTTGCTTTGGAAGGAGATGCCATGTTGTGATAAGAGTCGGACTACCATCTGTGGCATTGCTCATGTCAAATCACTGTGGGAGAGTCTTGCTAAAGAAGACATATTTCTCCATCTGTGGGATGTGATACTTGAAGGCCAAAAGCAACCAGATCCTAGCCTGAAATGCATGTAATATAATTGGTGTATGTTTCCAGGAAATTCCATTAAAATTTTGAGCCAAACACAATAGCAGCAGTTAGATTATATTCTTGAAATTTGTTTAGTCATGATATTCCTCCTTAATAGGGAAACACTGCATTAAAACCCGTAAGAGTCCATCAAGGATGCATTAATCAAAATCTGGAGTAGATCAGTCTTGAATTACTGTACTGACTACATGTGGTTACAAATATAGTTTCAATATATTTAAGTTAAAGGTCATATTCATTTGTTCAAAGTATTGAATAATGATGACAACTGGGGCACAGTAATTATCTAGAAAGGTTAAACACAGTTTTGCTGAGTGGGTTAACGGTTTCCAGCCTTACCTAAACTGTCAGGGCTGTCTATGGAGAAGCACATGAGGATGACATCGGTGTCGGGGTAAGAGAGAGGCCTCAGTCTGTCATAATCTTCCTGACCCGCTGTATCCCACAGTGCTAACTCCACCTGAGTGAGAGGAAAGAAGTGATGCTGGTTATTTCAATTGCATTATTCACACTTGACCCGGCAGCAGGGTGACAAGGGAGAAAACCAACAGAAAAACCAGAATATGGGCAACAAGAACAGAAGCAGAATAAATGGAAAGAGGATTTAAAACTATTCATTCTTCTGCTATCAGGCCTAAAAATCAGATCCCTAGAGGTGGATATGGCTCCCGCAGGCTTCTCTGAGGCTGTTAATCAAAGTGTTAGTAGTCCCAGAGCGCCTGACCTGCTCCAGATAAAACAAATGCTGAATAGAAAGACATTTGCTACAGCTCAGCAAAAGCTGGAGCTCTTGCTACAGCATAACACGAGTGTCATATCATGCTTACATCATGTGGCTTCTTTTTACTGTAAAAGTCTGCGGCCTCTGAGCTTAACTGTAATGTCGACCTGTCTTATCCTGTGTCCTGTTGATTTAGTTCTACAATATCCTTACCACCATTACAATCACAGCTGGAAAACTGCACCTGCTACTGCTGAGAATTGGGTAATTGGTTATCTTAGCAAGACTGGCAAGTCACTGTGTCTTACAAAGAAAAACATTTCCATAGTATGACAAACAGTGAGCAGAGCTGTACCAGCCTGAAACATTACTTTGACAATTAATTGGATAAGTGAGTAACCCCACATCGTGACATACTGTAATGTGTTCATCTCTGCTGCTTTTGAATTCTTTCACCACTAGGTGCCTCTCTGGAGGCTCATCTGCAAATTATTTAGCCACAGTGCTGCTGGTGTGAAATCTTTTCAGCCCTCTTTTCTGAGTTTTTGTAGCTGCAGCTGAATATAATCAATTAATGAGTGGGGGACAGCTGTGAGGTGTTAAATATTTCACTATACCAAGTGCAGGTTTTTTTTTTTTTTTTTTAAAGCTCACTACACCACAGTTGACATGCTTGGATTCCAGACTTTGTATGAAACAGCGCAAAACCCCAGCCGACTGATCCCACATTCTGCAGCACGGCAAACAGGATCAGGAAATGGAACATTAGTCATGATGTATGAGGAGACGGCTCCAGTCCTACACAGGAAAGTAGCTCTGATCCTTTTCCTGTTGTTGGCTGGAGGTCTGCTGCTTCACAACAATAAGACCCACAGATAGAGAGTTGGGCTTAATATTTAATTTAAAAAAAAAAAATCGTCAGTACCTGTCACAGCTCTGGCTGATTTATGTGCTGCATCAGCAGAGGTTAGCAAAGACATCATGACATGCTGCATGCTGGCCTTCTTCGGGTCAAGTAAGCTGCAGGGGTAGGCCAGTCAGGCGAGCACGTAGAACAGACGCTGCTCTAGTCACCTGTGGTAACGTTAACTTCAGGGCCTCACTTGGATAGTGAGGTTGCAGGTGAGTCGGCAAACTGTTTGCCGTGACCCCACTGACCTGTTCGATCAGCATAACTTTTCTCCCTACTATCTCGCATTTTGTCCTTGCAAACATAATATTACGAGCTCACTTTACTAAGAGGTCAACGAGACATGTAACTGGTCAAGCTGATAATGAATTTTCAGAATGTCCTCTGCTGGACCACAAGGCAAATTACATCAAACGGCCTGCTGCGCTTATTGACAGAGCGTACATTGTTGGATTCGAACCCCGTTTGAACAATGCTCAAAATTCTGATGAAAAGTGACACCAATATGGCTCATCATAGGTTATTTTAATGTTAAAACTTGTTCTGTAAAATAACCGGTTACTATAACTGTCAAAAAATGTACTGGAGTAAAAATCACAATACTGTAGAGGAGTAGAAGTTTAAAGTATCAAAGTGAATATATTCAAGTGCAACTATGCTGCACATGAGTAAACAGACATTCCCCATTGCCAACTATAGCAAATCAACAGAAATTTTAAATACCTGTTTGCCATCAACTTCAATGTCAGCGATGTAGTTCTCGAACACAGTGGGAACGTAAACCTCTGGGAACTGGTCCTTACTGAAGACGATGAGCAGACAGGTCTTCCCACATGCACCATCTCCAACTATCACTAGTTTTTTCCTGATGGCTGCCATCTACAAACAGAGCACACTCTGATCAGTGTGTGTGTTAGGGTTTGAGACACTGGTGAGGATCCAGTATTTTCAAACAAGGGAGGGAGGTGAAAAAGGAATGAGGAAAAAGACAGCAAGGGGAAAAGATGACTGAAGCTTGTTTTAGAGCCGCACCCTCTTCCCGTTCCTGGGCTGCGTCCTGTGTGTGAGGTGAAAAACAAGAGTCAGGCTGAGGGTTCAAGGCTAGTCTGGAAAAGCAGCGAGAAGAAAAGGAACAGGGGGAGAGCCACAGCCTTGGGAACGCTGCCGCCTCTGTACTCTATATGCTGTTGCACATACACGGCTTCAGTCATGCAGTTACTTCAAAAACAGTCCTTAATGTGTCACCTCTCCGTCCCTGTGGGTCATGTGATTTACAGCTCTTACTGGTTTCGTCTGACACCTCCATATTGCACATATTTCTCTCCTATTCTCTTTGCTTGTTGCCCCAAAAGCTGTATACATGTGAGTAAAACCTGGGTTGCCAGAGGGGAATCGAGCCCCCCCCACACACACACAGATCAATAGCCAACTCCCACAAGCTGACAATAATGGAGAGAAGGCAGTAGGTGATGAGACAATGTACTGGCTGCCAGCCAGCAACATCAGCTTCCACAGATCTCAAACTACCTAGACCAGCACAGGCTTTTCATCCCCTACAATGTAAAATTGCCATCACACACAGCTGATGAAATGCAGATTTATCATTTAAAGTGGTTATTATTAACGTTTTATATCAACAATGGTTCACGATTATTAATCACCAGACTCTATAGTTTGCCACAGCTCTACTGACCTTCACAGAATCTTTCAGCTCTTTCTTTTAGTTTTCAACCCAAAACTTTCCTGTTACTTTCTAAACAGCAGCCGTTTCACTAAAAAAAAAGCTCTAAAAACCCAGTGCACGCTCGCTACTTGCTCGGCACCACACAGCAGACGGACAAACTTAGTGACTCGCTTTGACAGCATTTAGCAGCTGAAGAGACACGTTTTCTTCAGGAGATCGTCAACACCTTAACAGAGCTATAAGGATCGTGAGCATTGCTGGACAAAAGCAGGGCTCCAATGAATGTTACTGCTGCTTCATGTCTGCTGGATGTGTTAAGCAGCTGTTTCCTAACAACAAAGTTATCCAGCACTCACTAATATATTTGCATCTGTGGTATCAGTGATGAACAGAGTTTTGCTGCATTTATGTGGAACTGTTTCTTATGAAAAGGTCTGGCAGGTGGCTGGAAAGGCCTGTTGATACAAAATCTTTATAGAAACTAAAGTCAGTTCTTACAGGTTGAATGGAGGCTCCTCTGTACAGGGTGACCCAAACAAATGATTTTATGTAGGGAGAGCCTGCAGGACACACTACATGGTATTTTCTCCAGCCTTCTATTTGGTAAAAAGACAATGAGCCCTAAAGAGACGCTGTTTGTGTATGTTCGGGAACAAAATGTACAGTGCTACATGACTTTCCATTCGATCCCCTCAGCTTGTGTAGCGCTCATTTACCTTGACTCGCAACTACCATTTTCACCACACGAATAAAAAGACAATTGTTCCATTTGCTTTTCTCTCCCACACATTAAATCAGGCCAGCGCGCTGTCAAGTTTGTCTCTGGAGAGAGCCACCTGTTCTCTGTGATAGCAGGCTGCTGCTACTCCATACATCATACTGTCAGTGCCAGAGGGAGGACAAACAAACACACACGTGACTGGTATCTACAGTGCAGACCCAGAAAATGGAGCTAGTCCTGCAGACCTTGTGCTGTGATTCAGCTTATTGACGACAATCACTCTCACAGCATGCCGCTGACTGTGACAGTGGACAACATGGAGTTTAGTGGGGATAATGGGTCCTTTCCTTTGCATAATGTGTCTGTGTGCGCACATACTGTGCCAGTACAAGGACAAGAACGGGGACTCCAAGGACTTTTCTAAATAAGAGAGCTGATCGCTGGGTTTGTTCTATTATAAAACCACTGCATTAAATGATGAGAATGTTCGTGTTAAAGGAGCACACTTTGCTCACTTCTTGAACAGAGCAGTTCCCCAAATCTTTGAGAAGTCAGCCAAGAGCCAGAGTGGATCCCAAAACAGAGAATAAACCCGCAACTATTTTGATTAGTACTTGATTCCAAAACACAAACCACTTTTAGGTTCAAGCTATCCAAGTGTAAGGATTTGCTGCTTTTCATCATCTTACACTGAATATCTTTAGGTTTCGAACATATCATTGCAGGAAATTGTGACTATAATTTTTCACCATTTTATGACATAAAATAGCTAAAGAATATGAGGAAGTAATTTTAAAACACCCTAAATATGAGCTTAAGAAAGTAACTTAATGGAGAAGAAAAAGAATACATGTTTGCCCTCCTCATAAGCGCGCTGTCTTTTTAACATAACTCGGGTGAAAACTGCAGGCGCTTACCAGTAATAGGTTTTGTTGATTTTCCCATTGCCATCTATGTCCTCATCTGCCTTCCTCCACATTGGGCTGCAGGGCTTTGCTGGAGCCCCCTGCAGTGCTGGTGCTGTGGTGAATGCAATTTCCCATAGAAATGAATAGAGGGGGCTGCGTTTTTTCACACCTTTGAAACTCGGCCTGAATGTGGCCTTACAGTGTGTATGAGGATGCATGGAGGGCAGGCATGCATATAACAGGTCAGGCTAGTGTACATTATGGATATCAAGTCAATACTACCTAGGACACATTCATCCTTAGCATTCAAGTGAGTTTAACTACATCGAAAGATCATGCTTAAAGGTCATTATATTACAAGTACAACATTAACATCATTAAAAGCGAATAAAATCTAACTAAGAATATCATCTAGCAGCTGCAGCTATTCATTGTTTTGCCATTTCCTTTTGCATTACTCAACAGATGATAACTGGAAAACATTTTGGGGAAAACCTGGTCTGACAATGACAGCCTCAATAATGCATTCTGTTCATTATTAGACTCAGTTGGCTTCTCTCAAACTGTAAATAAATCCACTCACTGTTTTAATCACACTCTTGATCTTGTTCT